AAGGTGACAGATCCCAGGCTGTGATCCCATGACACACTGATAGCACTATTTATCCTGGTTGTATCCAGGCAGCTGCAAACACTGCAGGGCCCTCCAAGCCTGGGTGCCCGCTGAGGGGCAGAGCAGTTGGTCTGGATGGGGTTCAAGTGCTCTGGATGCAGCTGAGGCAAAGGGATGCAGGAACAGCTTGGAATGGGATGGGGTGGGATGAGTGGGTTTGTCTGGGGGTCCTCTGCCCTTCCCTCCTGCTCGCTCCCACAAGGAAAACAAATGGATGTGGCTGCATCTCCAGAGCTTCCAGTGCTGCTCCTGGCAGTGCCATTCCTGTCCCTGGCCCTGTCAATGCTGTGGTCACTGTGCCCATGGCTCTTACCGTTCATCTCCATCACACCCCGTGCTGGAGCAAGGCTCAGTCATGCCTCCCTGGAATTGTGCATCCCCACAGCTTCCTCCCTCCCCTGTGCCCACCCTGGACCCTCGGGGTGGGTGGGAATGTGGGTGTCAGCTGTGCCTGCTTGGCCATGGGGTGGTGACAGGATTAATCTTTGCTCCTGGCAGAGCTCAGCCGATTCCTTTGGAACCTCTTGATGGGAAGATAAACCAGGAGCAGCCCCGTGTTCCCTGTCCCTGTCACACCAGGCAGGTGCACCTGCCTCTCTGGGGGCTTTTCCTTCCTCCCTTTCTCCCTTCCTCCCTGCTGCTTTTCTCTGTGCCCCAGAGCAAACAGGCCGGTCCCTGCCCCGATTTGGTTAATGAGCTGGGAGATAAGCCCTGCTCCCTGATAAGGAGGGACCGATGGCCAGGTGAGATACCTGGGGGGTGTTCACCTGCCAGGGGATCCCACAGGGAGCTGCAGCTCAGGGACTTTGCTCCAGGGCACCCCAGGGGCTGGCAGCAGCTCTCCCCAGCCTTGCAGGCAGTGGGATGTGCCCGGATCCAGGTGGGAGCAGTGGGATCACTCCCTGGTGGTCCCACATGGGGACACAGCTTGCTGCCTTTGGGCTTTGTTCCCAGTGTGGAGCACAGAGCATCTCCCAGGCTTCCCCATCATGTTCCCTGTTCCCTCTCAGCAGTGCTGTGTGTTTAGCTGGAAAAAAATCATCTTTTCCCTCCTTTTTTCCCTCGCTGTGTTAACATGGATGCAGCACAGGGGCTCTGCAGCATCCCTGGCTGGCCCAGGCACACTCATCCCTCTGGGGGAGCTCCCAGCACCACAGAGCAGGGGTTCAGCACCATCAGTGGGGTTCCAGCACCCCGTTTTGGGGCGGGTGGAGGCCGTGGGGCTGGCGGGAACGGGGCTGGCTGTGGCAGCACTATTTTTGTCCCCCTGTCTGGAACGGTTTTCTCTTTATCAGCGCCTGCGTGTTTTCTCTGCTGGGGATTGATACACACAAGATGAAGTGCTCTGACATGGGAAGTGTCAGGCGAATGCTCTTATCTCAGAGACATGGTCTCCTGACCCAAACGCTGCTGATTACCACTGAGACGGGCAGGGGGGGCACCCGCAGGGGGACGTGGCCGTTGGGCTCCGGGCCCCAAAAGCAGCCGGGATCTTTGGGGTGCCAAAGGCAGAGGGGCTGCTGGGGGTTTAGGGTGCAGGGGAGGGCAGGGATGCTGAGGCTGCGGGAGTCCAGCACTCCAGGAGTGTTTTGGGATCGGATTGGAGGTGCTGGAAGTGTGGAATAATGTGAGGTCTGACTGCCCTGCTCAGCCACTCTGGTGGTCACTCTGCTCCCTCCTGCCTTCAGTCCTTCATGGACCCTTCCTCAGGCTCAGTTTGTGCCAGGGAATAAATCCCAACAGCTCCCTCATCCCTCCTCCTCCTCCTCTTCCCTGTGCTGGAGGAAATGGTCAGGGGGATGCAGGGCAGGAGGGTGCCAGGGATGTGTGGGATGCAGGATGGGAGGATGCCAGGGATGCAGGGCACACACAGCCTTTGCCATGCTCATCCCCAGAACCCCTTTGCAGGGATGAGATCCCAGCTGGACACAGAGCTGGGATCTCCATGGATGGCCAGGGTGCCTTTGGGAACACTGTGGCTCCAGGGCCTCCCAGGCTGTCTCAGTGGGCAGGACAGGGCAGCTGAGGCAGAGCCCATCACCAGCAGGGCTGGGGGCTCTGCACGGGGCTGTGGGGTGGCAGGGACCAACCTGGGGAGCCCGGACACCTCCCAGTTCTGCCGGGATGGCACCGGCTGCTCCCCTGGGATGAGCTCCAGCAGTGCCCGGGGTGGCCAGAGGGGACCCGCGGGTGGCAGTGGCACCTGGGCCATGGCAGGTGACACCACCCAGCTCTCCCAGTCGCTCACCTCAGCTCACCCCAGCGCCGGGAGGATCCAGATGTCAGCCCTGCTAATAAACACATCAGATTTCAATCTCTGCAGCCCTGGGATCGCTTTATCCTCCCCGCACTCGCGGCTCCAGAGGCAATTTTGCCTTCAGCCAGCACAGCCTCCTCCCTGTCCCCGGCACCCGGGACTGCCTGCAGCCCCTCGGGGCTCGGGGGGCTCTCTGTCCTGCCCTGCACAACTCGGGCACACACGGGATGGGTTCATTCTGTGTCCCCGGGGAGCTGCTCGGTTTTGGGGGGCAGCATCCATTGAGGGGCAGGCGGCACATCCATCTGGGTATTGGTTACCTGCCATCTTATCTGCGCTCCCAAAGACAAAGGCACAGTTAAAACATTTTCGAGCAGCCTTCATAGCGTATTCACATGTTATCTAACCCATTAAACCAGAGCCTTATCAGATAATCAAAGCCATTAAGCCCTGAAGCTGCTGCGACTTCGGGTGCGGGGATGGGAAACGCTCCTTCCTCTGCCCGGGGCCGTGCTGGGACCCCCGAGCTGGGCTGGGACCCCCCATGGGACCCTCACCAGCAGCTCCAGACAGGTGCCCACACCCCCGGGATTTGGGGCGCTGCAGTCC